CACAATCTCCTTCTTTATGTCACTTCCCAGAGCTCGTGACCATAGGTGAGGGTAGGAATATAGACTAACCAGTAAACAGAGAGCTTTGCCTTACAGCTCAGCTCCCTCTTCACCACAACGGACCAGCACAGAGTCCGCAATACTGCAGATGCTGTATCAATCCGTCTGTCAATCTCACGCTCCATTCTTCCCTCACTCGTGAACAAAACCCTGAAATACTTGAACTCCTCCACTTGAGGCAGAACCTCAACCTGAAGAGAACAATCCACCTTTTTCTGAGTGAGGACCGTGGCCTCAGATTTGTAGGTGCTGATTCTCATCCCAGCCGCTTCACACTCGACTGTGAACCGCTCCATTGAGACTTGAAGGTCACGGCACGATGACGTCAACAGGACCACATCATCTGCAAAGAGTAGAGATGGAATCCTGAGGCCACCGATCTGGACTCCCTCTGCACCCTGGCTGCACCGAGAAATTCTCTCCATAAAAGTTCTGAACAGAATCGGTGGCAACGGGCCAAGCTGAACAAAACAGAGCTAAAGGTTGTAACAAATTCTGTCAGTTTTGCAACACGGAGCTGAAAAGAAGAAGTGCCCGTCTTGTAATCATAGTCAGTTTCTTTACAACTCTGCCACGCTCACCGTGACCTCAGAGCTTCGGTGTCGGTTCGACTTTCTGCCCTCCACATGAGTTTCCTGCTGAGGATAAATCCGTAAAATATGGACGAGGAGCTGAATTATGCAACTGTGACTTTTAAAAGTAATGGTGTGGCTACACCCGGTGAGTAATATGAATTTTTATGGCATTGTTTTTGTTTGTGAAGTGGGTTTTTAGACATTTTGTCCTGAAAGGGTTCCTCTGCTGTCACAGAAACAGCGAAATTGCTCTGTTTATTAACAAAGTCCATGCTCAATAATCTAGGTATACAATCCAACATTTTTCAGTCAGGTCATCTGGACAGTTTCTTTTTTGTGCTGAAATGTTTCGCCTTCGATCCAGAAGGCTTCATCAGTCAAGGAAACACACAACACAAAACTGATTCTTCCCCCAACAGCTTAGTCCAAAGTGGAACAAAAAAACAGTTCTGTTCTGTTTATTCTGCTTCTGAACAAAACCGGATTGTCTGCACAATAATACAGTTAACACATCAGTGTTTTTTAAGAATAAAGATGTTGCTTCATATGTAAGAGTATTCAGCAGTATTGTAACAAACAAAGTGAGAGACCAACTAATGTTTCTGAAATCAGCCTCTCTACATGCACGAGAGCCGTTTCCTTTCCAGTGTCTGAAATTTACAATCGCACCTCGTTCTACCTAACGAGGTCCTGATCCGGTGATTACCTGAAGCAAATCTTAATTAATGAGAAAAGGTATAAAAACCCCGTCTGGATGGTTAAATCTGTGCTAGTAACTCCAAGGGAATAGGAATGAATTAATAGATAATTAACAACTGACCTTGTCTACAGAGATGAAAAGACTGTTTTCGAGTGAGGAAATGAAAGTTTCAGGTGCAGCTCTCCTGCCAGAGGGACAGCATCAGGTTTTCAGGGTTCAGGAGTGCTTGGAAGACCATCAGTGTCTGGTCCTGCATGTTGTTGTGTTTTCCTCATGTTTGCCTGTCACCCCTCAGCGTCTCTCCTCCCTGTGGTCCAGCACTGTCACACCTGTGTCTAATCTGATCACGGCAGGTGCCTGTCATTTCACCTCATAGTGTCTGTATATATTCAGCCCCTTGGTTTCTTGTCAGTGTCTCTGTCCATTCTATGGCTTCATGTTTCAGTATCCCTTCATGTCACCTCCTTGAAATAAGTTTGCTATAGCAGTTTATTAAAATAAGCTGTTAGTTTTTACTTTAACTGGAGTCTCGCCTCATCTTCCTGCACTGGGGTTCAACACACGGAAGCAAACCATGACAATCAGACCTGGACCCTGTCATGGCTGGCTCCAGGCCTGAACCCCACTCAAAACCCTGGAATGTGATGAAGAGAAGGATGGATGGTCCAGAACCATCAGACAGATGAGCTGATTGAATATTTGCTCCAGGAAGGTAAAAAAAAAAAAGTCCCCCAACAGCTACGTGAAATGGTGGAGAGCTCGGCAACACCCATGAAAACTAAGTCATCAGGGTCATTAAGATAAGATAAGATAAGATAGGATAAGATAAGATAAGATAAGATAAGATAAGATAAGTCAAGATAAAACTGTACTGGTTGCACTAAATATTGATTTCTGATCTCTTCTGTTCTCTATCGTCAGTATTTTGATGTGTAAAAATGAATCTGGTTTCCTTTAAACAATTTTAGGTCTTAAAAACACTTTACAGTTGCGTTCTGAAAATGAATGCTGTAAATGTCTAAATATTTATTTGTAATTTAGAAGAAATGTTCTCTGTAGGTTATAGAATAAAGCAAAAATGTTAATTTGCCTCAAACACGTAATTACAAAGAGCTGCAGAGATGTAAACAAATCAAACTAAGAACTACTACAACTAAGTTGTTAGAACTGTTGCCTCTCAGCAAGAAGGTTGTTGGATATCCTGATGCATGCTCAATAATCCAGGTAGAAAAATCTAACAAAGTTAAATCTGGTCATCCGGACAAGATTCTCAGACTCTTTCAGGGATGAAGATGTTCACATCCTTGATAGAGAGGAACGATGGTTTGAGAGAGGAGTGAAGGAGGCCATCTTTGTGAAAAGAAACCGTCCATCATTAAACAGGGGTGGAGGCCTCCGTGTTCAACTGTCCCCCTCTTACAATGCTGTGATTGCTAGTATCACTCAGCCTCCTGTGAATAGTCAACAGGCATCAGTGTGCTAATGATCCATCGTTAGGCTGATGATCCTTCTTGAGCATGTGAGCAGCTGGTTTTGGCTGTCAGTTAAATCATTAAATAGTTAAATCTTTGGCCACCCCAATCAATATGCAAATTAAAAAGCAGAGTTTCCTCAAATGATAGTGGTGGTTTGTTCACATGTATCAACAGTGGTAGCCATTTTGGATTTTGACATGAGAGAGAACATGCAAACTCCTTCCAGAAAGGCCTCCGGCCGGGATTTGATCCAACAACCTTCTCGCTGAGAGGCAAGAGCTCTATCAACTGCACCACCCTGCTGCCCACGGCCATTTATGATGCTTTAAAAAGGTTTGCTTGGGAGGAACGTGAAATAAATCACAGATACCGAAAGCATGTGGGCACAGCTAATCAAAACGTTAGCTTCACTAACCCATATTCTGCTAATTAAAAAGTTAGCTTAGCTAATGCTAAACCACTAAACAGATTATAACAAAAAAACTAGTAGAAGCTAACCCTAAACCACTAACTGTTCAGATGACTGTCTTTCAGTCTGTGCCACGTCGTCATCCCCTTCCAGCAGTGAGGAGTTTGTTCCACTTTCAGTCAGAGTCACTTCTTAGTTTGGACTCGACACAGCATTGACTGCACACCGTTACTGTTGCATCAGCCAACAGTTTCCAAAGTTACCACAAACACTAATTCACTAAATGAAAAATTACGTCCACTATTAGCTGTTAGCGGATTAGCGAAACTGTGCCCACCACTACTTATTTTTTCATGCTGACCTCTCTTACAGATGCAGCCACAAACCTAAATGGAAGTCAGCACGTTGTTTATTTTTCTAGTGGTCCAGCTGGACAGACAGTTTAATTCCCACTCTTGATGAGAGACAATAAATGGAGTTTAACTGGATCTCGTGGCTGAAGCTCATGTGACTGCACTCAGTCTAAAAGAACATTACACAATCTGTTGTGAAACTCATGAAATGACTCATGCTCCAACACAAATTTCTCCTTTCTGTCAAAAAGCACCACGGCACAATGAACACTCAGTTCCTGCTTTAAGACGACAGAATACTGAAGATGCTGAGATTATCCACAGACAGACTATAGTCTCGCTTCTAAATGAGACTCAAGGAGACTAATCTGTGTAAATAAAGGTTGAATGAATGAGTGAATGAATTTAAAGGGACGTTTAATCCATCCACCATCCACCATCCATCCATCCATCGTCCGTGCATCCATCCAGCATCTATCCATCCATACAGCCATCATCCACCCATCCATCTGTCCATCCATCTATCTATCAATCATCATCCATCCACCATCCATCCATCGTCCGTGCATCCATCCATCATCTATCCATCCATTCATCCATCCATCATCCATCCATACA